GGGGGGGGGGAGGGAATTTGCTCTAACTCTGAATGCCTGAACATCATTTCTTGGATCATTCTTTTAGTCTACGCGATGGAATGGAATTCATAAATTCGTTTAAAGCAATTTTCCTATCAAAAAATACTTTAATTTTTGTCTATCCAAAAAAAAAAAAAAAATGCTTTTTGTCCTCATAGTGCTTCAGCCTGCGCTTTCCTGTTACCAGACCGTGCTTCATTCGGTTCAGCGCGTCTTTTGGGTGTATTTAACTGGGAGAATTTGTTTTATCGAATATTTCAGCGTTCCGGTGAAACTCCATTATCTCTTTACAAAGTAGCTGCGGTGCTTTGCGATGAGCGAATTGTCGATCTGCTCTCACTTTCCTGCTTTGTAAGTTTTGTTGTGGTTTCTTATGAAAAGCTTTGTGTTCTGCAACAGGACGGACTGTTAAGCTGATTCTTGCATGGTTGTAGCATACGAGTAATATTAGGGACTTAAATAGGGCAGGACTAGAACTGTGTATGTATGGATGTAGAAATATAGCTGGTGTAGGAAAAATAAGTGAGTAAGAGTTAAGACGTTTCGGTCCATTAGGTCATATACGTCTTAGCTTAACACCGCGACTGGACCTCGTCAGTATGACGGCCGCTGTGTTCAGAGAAGATTGGAAAAAGAAAGGAATGGAAGGCAGGAAGAATGAAGAAGAAGAGAAAGATAGGAGAGAGATTTTTTAATTATATCAAATTTTGGAGCAGTTGGAAAAGATTATAAAGTTGCAATATAAAGTGGAAAATTATGGAGAGGAGGAAGTAGCTATTTGAACGGAACATTAACAAAACGACGTATGTCAAGTTGAAAATTGATTGCCCAAGTATATAAGTGCAAATGCTTGACCCTCTACTATTTACTTATGAATTCTGATAGTAATTTGGTGCTAGTAGTAATCGGGAATCTGGATCAGTCTGGTTATTAACAGTATAAGGAGTGAGAGCTATCGACAGCCTTGCCAGTGGATGGTTGCTTTTGGTACGTACTACCGCGCGAACTACTTCGAGTAATTACATCTGAGATACAGAGTGCTGGGGAGGAAAGATTGACTTGAAAGAATTTGTGGTTTTAATTTTAGGCAGCTTTTGGAAGAGAACCCAATGACAGCCTTTCCCGTGGGCGATAACTGTTGGCTAATGGAAAGAGAGGGATAGTACTGGTTGCGGGAATATGGCGACCTAATGCTACTGACGCTGATAAGGGGCAGAGTGCTGTTGTGTTGTCTGAGATTGAACAATAAGCTAGAAAACGGAAACTTTACGAATGTTTCTTGCCCACGTCTGACACAAAGCATTTAAATTCAGTTTTGCGCAACCCTATTTCTCACATGCATACACGTCAAAGTTTAAATTGGCACATGTGAAAGTTTTGGCGCGAAAATCACTAACCCGGGAACGGGAAAAGCTAGAAGGCTGAAACTTTAGGGGAATGTCCCCCACTCATGTACGAGCAAAATCAGGTGCTTAGAAGCACCCTGTAAAATCTGCCGTTGTTGAACCCAGAGTATGGTTTCATGTAAGAAATCGTATCACATGCCGTAAGATGGGGTGATTTTGGTGGTTATACTTATTGTGATTGGTGATTTAAGTCAAAAGAGGTTGTAGTGATTGGTGATTGAAGTTTAGGTAGTGAGGGTGAGAGGCGAGGGAGACGGGCTTAATTTGTTTAGAATCTTATGTGATAGTTACTAATTTTCTGAGAAAAATGACTTGATAAAAAAGTTATCTGTGCGATCCGGTTAGGTTTAAGCTGAAACTGGACCCCTTATAAATTTAGTTCAGATGAAGGCTCATCTGGGATATGCCCTGTTTTGTTCTTACCCTCATTTAGGGCACTGAATCCTTTGGCGGTTTACACTTTCGTTATTGCTTTCTCCCCGCCACCATTACAGTTGACAACTTCTTTATCCTTTCCTGTTTTGAACTTGAATCATTCAAGTGATACTGTAGAAGCATTCCCATAAATCCTGTTAATGATGCCCTTGTCATTGTTCCGTATTAAAATTGAGTTCGTGCTATTTAATAATTTGTTTTGTTCTGTTATCACTCATAAGTCCCTTCACTGTAATATGCAGTGCCCTCGTAAGCTTTAAAAAATTCTTATGCTTGGTTAAGGTGTTTGAAATCCGTTATTGATATGACCAGAAGTGTTTTAGCTAACTCCGAAACTGGAAGAACTGATGAATGATCAGAAAAGTCGCTTGGAGAGAGATACAAAGCGAGCTAAAAAGGCGGAAATTGTTTCTACCGGGGCAGTATCCGCTTCATCATCAGCAGCTGGTGCATATTTGGATGATGGTGCGGCCGTTGCTGGAGTATCGTTTTCCGCTGTAGCTGCTCTGCAAAATGCTGAAGACTCAAAATTGGCCGACGAGAAGGACAATGATGTTCGTACACTTCCATCTTCTTTTGTTACTTTGTACACCACCTTGATTTTATCATTGGGCCACGTCATGGCAGTAATGCTGCTAACAGTATTTCCTATACTGTGCTGCTAACAGTATTTCCTATACTGCTGTGAAATTTAAGGAAAAGAATGGTTTAGCTATCCAATCGCCAGTAATTTTTTCTTTCTCGTTTGCCTGTTTCTTTGCCTTTTCTGCTTTTTGAATGGAAAACACGGAAAAACTTTCGTAAATTTCTTCCTTTTAGATAAGTATCGTCCAACTGATTTGGAAAAAGAAAAATATAAAAATTGAGCAAAGCGTTTCGACGAGAAATTTAGTAAATTTAAAGGATTTTAACATAATAGTCCAATTCAAAGCAGCTAAAAATGCTCTAAATTTAAGCCCAAAAAAACGAAATCAGTCTGAAACTGTTAAACTTCTGCCTCAAAGAAACGCCGAATTATGCTGAAATGCATAA